GAGGGAAGAGGGTGGGACAGGAGGAAAGATTGGGTTGTGTGTGTGTGTGTGTGTGTGTGTGTGTGTGTGTGTGTTGTCATGCTGGCTACAGACAGACTCCAAAAAAGAAAAAAAGGCTGGGAAGAGGGTGGGAGATGGGGAAGGTTGGGTTATGTGTGTTTGTTTGTGTGTGTGTGTTTGTGTTTGCTTTCTGTTTTCGTGTGAGTGTGGGTGTGTGAGAGAGGGCTGGGTTTGAGGGGAGGGGGGCGCGCAACGTGGCGCTGGCGCCAAGTTTCATGAGCCCTTGAGGCCCGGGGCACGAATTTGCCATTCCTGCTGGCAAGAAGTGGGAATAGTGAGGGGGCTGAGGCAGCCAGCTGGCGGACCGGGTCCCCCGTGGACGGGAGAAAGTGGAGAGCCAGTGGCAGTGGCAGTAGCCGGGAGTGTCGCCGGGTCGGGATTCGGGAGGCGCCAAGGCAAAAAGATAGCGAGCGTGTGCTCACTGTGCTGTGTTGGGTGCGTTTTTTTTTTCGCAAGGCGCGGGGTCGGCCAAGCCGAAGCGCGACGTGATGAAGGCGTTGGGAGGGAGAAACTGAAAACCGCACGAAAAGTTGAAAACTCATTGGCGGGTGTGAAACTGAAGTTGCGGTCGCCGGCGTTAGGTTCAGGTTCTACTCTCACTCGCCCCAACACCAACTCGCGCTCGAGCGGGCAACTACTGGGCATCCGAATCTGGCAGGCGCAGCAGGCACTATTCCGCCTAAAAACGCGCGTCAATCAATCAATCATGGAAAGCCGGCCAGACAGACCAATGTCCGAAGGACCGACAGCAGCAGAACATGCAATCAGGGCCTAGCTCGGGTGGTATACACCCACCCATGAAGTGTTGAAATGCAGACCGAGGTTCGAGTCCACACGACATCCGACGAACAGAGCAGCAGCAGAACATCCGATCCGAAGCTATTGCAGCTGCAGCAGCTGCGACTGTCACTGCTGCTGCTGCTGCTGCTGTCGCTGCCGTTCTTGCCGCGATTGAGACGCTGCCTTTGTGGCGGTCTGTCAGCGTCAGCGTCAGCGTCGCAATGACTACTGGTAGTAGTGGTGGGTGAGGGAGGGGCCCCCGTGGCCCGGTGGATGGGCCGAGCCTGCGAGGGGGGGGGGAGGCGGGATGCACAAGGTTCACGGTGTGGAACGCACGCACTGGGTGCGGCATTTCGCGCACTTGAATACGTTCTATTGACCGCAATTTGCTAAGCCGCCACATAGAAGGAACGAGAGCTTTAGAGGGATAGGGAGAAGAGCGAGGGGAGAGCAGAGAGGGGAGAGGAGAGAGGAGAGAGGGATGTGCGCATCCGACGGCGGGATAAGATTCGGGCGGGAGGGAGGGAGGAGGGAGGAGGAGGGAGGGAGAAAGAATTAACAGCAAAACAGAGCTCAGCTGCCGTTGTAGAGCCGACGCCGGCGGGGTAGCTCATGCCCCCACGCCCCCGCGCCCGCGGCCCCGTTCCCCCAGCTCGCCACCTGCCTTTCGCTTGCCCGCTCTCGCTCTGTTCTCTTTCTTCTTCTCCGCTTGTCTGTTTGTCTGACTGTCTTCTCTTCTCTCGCTCTCTTTCCCCGCTCGCTGGTGTTTATTGGCGCGGTCTGTTATGAAAAGTTATAAATTCCGAGAGTATCCGCATGTCAGGTTGAGCGCGATTTAATGATAAGGCTGCTGTTGGCGTTGAGAGGAAGGAATGTCGATTACCCTTCTTCTTCTGGCGCGTTTTTCTATGTATGTATTGGTTTGGTGTAATCGGAGCGGCTGCAGGTGACAACGGGCCTCCGCACACCACTCTCGAAATGTGAAAAAGACAAAAATGTGGCGGGCGCATCTGGCCATGTTCTAGGGGAAGTTCATTCTCATTTTGCACATTTCGGTAGTGCTGTGGCGATGGCCACAATGCGGAACTGCGAGCTGCTCTGGGGGCCGGCCTGCCTGTGGTCTGTCTGAGGTGTGTGGTGGTCCGTGTGTGGGATCGACGGGTTGTCAGAGTCTCTGCTGTTTGTCGGTCGCTCGCGCGGTATCGTGCCCCACCACCCGCGACGGACCAGCGGGTGGGCGACCGACGCAGCGACCGACCAACGCACCGACCGACCAACCGCGCCTCGTCCACCGTCGCCCCCGCCCGGTCCTTTGCCCTCCTGCTCCCACGCCCGCCCGCCCGCCCGCCCGCCCGGTCCTTTCCGCTCGCTCGCCCGCCCGCCCGCCCGCCCGCCCGCCGGGACGCGCACCCTCGACCTCGTCGCTCTGGAGCTGATACCCCGTTTCAATGCCGCAGTAGCCTGTCTTCTTGCAGAGCTTCCGCCCCACTTCGCGGTTCTGCGCTGTCTTCATGGTTCGCGTGTTCCTCTCAGGATCGAGTGCGGAGAGGTAGATTGGGCGGGGGCTTTGTCACGTTTTGCGCGTGCGTGCCGGCTTGCTGCTTGCTTCTTCGCTCATTGTGCGCGCAGCTCCGCCTGTAGGACGAGAATTCAAGCTAGGGCCACATTTTGTCGTCGGAGTTCGGAGTGCCGGCCTTGCAGGAGGTGTTATGGCTCATATCATAGATAGTATGGGCTACTCATTGAGAATCGGGCTGCAACCTACCGGTAGTGCCGCTGTCGTTCTGTCTTCGGAAATCTGCAAGCTCGAGCCCTTCCGTGCTCTTGCTCCCGTCCGCCTGAGTCTGTCGTACCTACGCTAATGCTCACTCTGCCGGCGGGGGATAAAGCACTCGACCAATCAATCAACCAAGCAATCAATCAATCAAAGCATTCAGGCAGCTGCAGAAAGGATACGTAACGAAATTGATTGTTATGCAGTTCAATCTAATCGCTGCTTCGAGCATTGCTTTGTGAGGGGAAGACGCCTGCCAGAAGGCCGGACGGAGGATCACCGACTGACATACGAGTAGTACATGCTCGGGGAGAAAGGCGGCGGGCGTGTGTTTGTGTGTAAGACACACACACACACACACACACACACACACACACACACACACACASAGAGAGAGAGAGAGAGAGAGAGAGAGAGAGAGAGAGAGAGAGAGAGAGAGAGAGAGAGGGTAGCTCGAGCGCTTGCGGAGGTGGTGGTGGTCCCGACTGATCCGATGACGAACCTGACGGTAAGGCCGTGCTAGCGGTGCGGTGAAGTCGCTTCGAGAGCAGTGGACAAGGTTTGTTGGAACGAGCTGGGGGGTTGTAATGAACTGTTAACAGTGTTATAAGTGCGCGCAGTGCGCGTGCGGGAGGTTTGGGGGACAGCTGCGGAAGGGTCCGCCGGGGGTGAACTGAAATGAACGGACTGCAGTGCAGGCTGTGCAGGCTGGGCGGAGGAACTAGCTTAGTCTGACAGCAGTGGGAAGATGAAAATTGCCCCGCAAAATGGTCTACGGGAGCGAAGAACGGTGCAGCAGTTGCAGTTCGAGCAGCTTGTTGGCAGAAGGCGAACGCGAGCACGACCGGGTATGTGCCGAATACAGCAGAGCGCTGTACATAGCGCAGCATGAAGCGCGGTAACTTGGTCGTAGATTTACCGCAGTGATTGATTGATTACCCGCTTGACGGGACGGGGACACACAGTGAATCAGGCAGCGATTGGAGAGCGCGGGGAAAAACGTGGTCCAGCGACGCGGCGAGTTGGAGCTGGGCCAGGAATCGCAGGATCACTCAGATTTCTGAGACCGATTACTGATCAGCGCGGCGAGAGTTCGAACCTCGGTATCGCTCGCTCCAGCCTTCTCCAATACCCTGACATACGACTTTCAGTGTGACAATATATGTATACATACGATATATATATACAATATATGTATATATATGTATGTATAGATATATATATATTCCTATATCGTTGGCAGCTCGAGGGGTAACGGCGGGTTAGTGTGCAGTGTTGCTGCCACTTCCACTTCTCCTTCCTGCTCTTCTCTCTCTCTCTCTCTCTCTCTCTCTCTCTCTCTCTCTCTCTCTCTCTCTCTCTCTCTCTCTCTCTCTCTCTCTCTCTCTGTCTTTCGAACACACGCATACACACTCTTTCTGTCTCCCTTTCTCTCTCTCTCTCTCACACACACACACACACTTTTTCTCTCTCACACACACACACACACACACACACACACACACACACACACACACACACACACACACACACACACACACACACACAGAGTCTCTTTCTCACAAACTCACAACGAAAGAGGGAATATGACTCTGAGTGTGCTTTGCTCGCTCGTGGACGGTCATTGATTGCCCGTACTCGAGCGAGGAGGAGGGGGAGGGAAAGTTTAACACGGAGTAGGTAATTGGGAACCTGAACATACTCCACGAGCGAGGGGGAGGGGGAGGGGGAGGGGGAGGGGGAGGGAAAGCTTAACACGGTTGGAGGGATAATGCCGAGAGAGCGGGTAGCAACTGCAGAGAGCCCCCGCTTTTCCATCCGCGAGTGGGTCCACAGCTGAGCTGAGGATGGGACCGCGGGCTCGGAGGGGTATGTTGTGCTCGCCTCAATTTCCAGTCCCCGGTTCGAAATCAGTCCGTCGATCTTCGACCAAGCCATGGAAGCTGATGGACTGAGCTGCGTGGGTATCCCTATCCCGGTCAGCGGTGGCGTATAACCAGAGCTAAACGACGGCAGTCTACGGCAGGGATACCGACGAGTGGTCAGCAGACAGAGTGTTCTGCGTGGGTGAATCTGTTCTCCTTGCCTTGTGCCTGTGTATGCGTGACGGCACAGGTGTTTGAGAGGGAGCCCGGGTGAGGTAGGGGTGGCGAGGGGGGGGGAGGGGGGAAGGGAGGGATGCGAGCAGAAGAGGCAGCAAAGGAGGAGAGAGAGGAGGTAACTTCTTAAACTCTCTCAATCCTCCGCTCCTCGAATAAGCCGCGGGTAGGCACTGGGCAGGGATTGGCTGCGTGCAATCAATCTAGTCAAGCTTGCTCAGCCTCACTGATTGATTGTCTGGAATTGTAGAGATGATAGGTATGGGTATCTGTTACCAACCGTGAAGTCGAGGAGGACACGTGAGCTGGAGGGGAGAAGGGGGGTGAGGGGGGGAGGGGGGCTTAGCTGTCGGGCCCCCACACTACCTGGATTGTGTTGGGTGAGGAGAGCGATCCGTGGGCGGTGAGGATGGAAAGGGTGCGCAGTGAATCTACGTCACCGCGAAGTGCGGAAAAGGGGGAAGGTGGCGGAGCATCGGGCGCGCAGGAGCCATCAAGGCAGCGAGAAGCTGTCCGTTCCGACGACACGAGGGAAGGGGGGGAGGTGATGGGGAATGGGCAATACAGCAGCAGTGAGGCGGCGGGGAGCGTCGAACCTGGGCTTGATTCGAACTGCAGCGAGGGGGAGAGAATGAAGATGGGTGGAGGCGCACGACGCGCGGAGGAGGGGGTGGGGGGTTTAAGGGGAGGGAGGAGGATGGAGGGAGAGAGAGAGAATTCCGGGAAGGATCATTGTCATCGGGATGGCAGCGGTCGCGATCCCGGGGAATCGGATAGCGACGCCGGAGCAGTGGTCGGCGGAATGACGAGGCACGAGCTGCCGCTGACGGCAGGGACTTGGGGGGGGGCGGCGGCGGGGGCTGCAACTTGCCGCCGGCGAGAGTCGATGGACGAGGGGGACGGTCGGCGGGAAAAGAACAGTCCATGCTCTACCGGTCAGAGCGGGTCGACCGGTCGTCAGCCGCCGGGGCCAAGCTCGCTTGACAAGAATGCTTCGTCGCCGTCGCTTGTGTTTCGTCGGTGTGATGACTATGGCGGTGAGCAGCGTCTAGGGGAAGAGGAGAAAGAGGAGGAGGAGGACGAGGAGGAGCTGATACCAGCTCGTTCGCGGATTGAGGACGAGGAGGAACAGAGGAAACGGCAGCCATTGCAGCAATTGCAGGGAGTCGGGAAGGCGAGGAGGGAGGAGGGGAAGGTGATGAGATACATGTCGGCAGACGACGAAGCAAGTGAGGGCGGGTCTGGATCGCGTCTGGAGAAGGAGATGATGCCCGCCGGAGGGGAGAGAACTCCATCTCAGAGTCTCGCAAGATGCCAAAGTTATGGTCTCTTCGGAGTGTCTGCCTCAGCAGCTGGAACAGCAGGAGCAGGAGCATTTGTGAGAGAAAGAGGAGAGCGAGGAGCGGCTGCGTCAGCAGCAGCAGCAGCAGCAGCAGCAGGAGCAGCACGAGCAGTCGAGAGAGAAAGAGGAGAGCGAGAGGGTGGGGCTGCAGGTCTTGTCTGTCCCCCGGGTACGAGAGGTAATGCCAGCGGTTCGTTGGCGGGTCGTCCGTGTGTAGCCCAGCAAGCGGAGAAACCGGCGGATGCTGAGCGCGGGAGAGAGGATTGGGGGGGATCTGAAGCTGCAGGCCCGATGCGAGAGAGAGACCAGGTCGAGGACTGGGATGACACCCACATGGCCTCTCCGACATTACCGCCTTTTTCTGCGTGTTCCACCAATGAGTTGGACTTCACCACTCATCATTGTCATCATCCCAATCAGCCTAATCAGCCTAATCAGGCTAATCAGCCTAATGAACGTAATCAGGCTAATCAGCCTAGTCAGAGACAGATATGGCAGGAAGAGAATGAGCAGCAGCAGCAGCAGCAGCAGGAGGAGGAGGAGGAGAGTGGTGCAGCGTGCGCGCCGTCGGTAACCCCGCAGCCAAGGAGAGCGCATCGGCGGAAGCAGGCGCGCCCGCGCAGTTGCAGGGAAGACCTGATTCCCCCCTCCCCCGCCGAGCAAAGCCGTCCTGCACCTTCACCGCGGGTGAATGAGAGTGGTGCGGTTACTGCGGTACCTCAGGCAAGCCGGACTATAGAGATTCATAGAAGATGTGCCGACGGTGGAGGAGGAGGAGGAGGAGGAGGAGGAGGAGGAGGAGGATCGAGTATTGTCGCAGCCATCGCGTCGTCTTCTGATCTTGTAAGTGCTATTCGACACAAATTATACAACAAACACAAGAAGCTTTTTAAGAAAAAAGAAGAAAAAAAAAACAAAAAAAAAGGGGCATGAGTTTTCAAAATCTCCCTGGACCACTGAGCGAGCGACAGAATGGGCAGCTCGCCGCCACTAAAGCCTGCGCACGTGCGCGCGCGCACGCACGCACAGACACATGCATACACACATCATGCTTTTTCTGTGGATTTGTGTGTAGCGAACATGACAATACACATACATGCACACACACGGGGACATAGATGGTTGGAGCAGAGCACGTGCAGTAATCGAGAATCCGAGCGGAATGTTGAGCCGAGCACACGCTGGACACATACCTGGTCTGTTCGTACGCGGAGAGAGAGAGAGAGAGAGAGAGAGAGAGAGAGAGAGAGAGAGAGAGAGAGAGAGAGAGAGAGATTTACCATAGAAGTGTCGACGCGACTCGACGGGTTCTCTGCATTCGCAGAAGTTCGACAGGCTACTAGCAGGTGCATACATGGTCATAGATCGGATGACGCTGGATTGCAGCTGGATTGCAATTGCCTGCTCGTTGGACGACTTGAGCCAAGCTCTCTGTGCCTTTGTGTGTGTGCGTGTGTGTGTGTGTGTGTGTGTGTGTGTGTGTGTGTGTGTGTGTGTGTGAGAGAGAGAGAGAGAGAGAGAGAGAGAGAGAGAGAGAGNGAGAGAGAGAGAGAGAGAGAGAGAGAGAGAGAGAGAGAGAGAGAGAGAGAGAGAGAGAGAGAGAGAGAGAGAGCTGGGCTGAAGGGTAAGTGATAGCCTGGTGCTTTCGTGTGCTTACTGAATAGGCACTTGATGTGCCACCATTTTTAATGGAGCTTCACGAGGTGAGTTTGGGGGGTAGCTGTGAATTTGAAGAGTACTCTTAACAGAAGCTTGGACTCGGATCCACTGTCATTGGGGGGTAAGCTGTGGAATTGAAGGATCCTCTTAGGAGAAGAAGCTAGGACTCGAACTCTTTAGGCCGGTGACCAAAGGAACGAGAGAATTAAGACAAAGTTTATTATTTATAGGGGCCCTTTAAACTCACTCTTAGCAAATTGAGAAAAAAAAAATAAAAAAAAATCGTGAGTGGTGGCGTTTCCAAGTCCCTTCCCCCCCCTTCCCCTCTTTCCCTCCCCTTCCCCTCTTTCCCTCCCTGCTTCCCCATTGGGTCCGTTCCCCTCTCCCAGTCGGCTTTGCCTGAGACAAACTCACGTTTATTCTGAGAGACAAAAATAGCGTAGCAGAACTGATACATGCATATGAATCGTCGAACGGAATTGCCCGGTAAACCGTATATATACATGTATATATTTTTGGCTGCGTGCAAGTGGGTCTTTATGACACACGGGGATGGGGGCAGCCGGCGCTCAACCTGTCATCCACGTGGCTGGCCTTGTACGTAAGAGGTGACGAACAGGTGGGGCTTTCCTTCCTTACTTCTTTTTCTTTTTCTTGTTTTGTCTTTTTCCGCCTTTGCGCTCCGATTGTACGTAAGAGGTGATGAACAGGTGGGGCTTTCCTTCCTTACTTCTTTTTCTTTTTCTTGTTTTGTCTTTTTCCGCCTTTGCGCTCCGATTTCCAGTGTGACAATATATTGTCACGAAGTTATCAGAGCGCAAATATACATACATATTTTCTACATGTATACACATGCCGCGTCACATGCGGACATTCATAGATATACGTCGAGACAACAGACTGACCGGTAAACCGTAGGCAGGATCGAGGATGGTGCAAACATCAGGCTGAGCAGGGGGAGCCTGTGAGAGATGATTCCCGTCGGAGTTTGACCAATTGCAAATCGGGTAGAGAGGTGGTGATGATGGCCGTGTGACGGAAGGCTGAGCCTGCTGCGCGGCAGATGAGTAAAATTTTACTTAGTAATGAGCAGCCAGGACGAGGAAGTAAACAGGAGGGATTGGATCCGTCGTGGAGACTGAGGCCATTCATACTCACATATCAAACTATCACTTTCCTAAATGTATCGGACTGCAATTACGGCCATACCTCGACGCATCTGGGCGTAATCACGTCCAGTGCTCAGTCGAGAAAGTCTTGCTATGAGTATGTCTTCACACACGCATACAC